GGCACTGGGTTCAATCCCCAGCATCACCAAAAAAAAAAAAAAAAAAAAAGAATAAAAATGGCACTTTCCAGAATGGGAACACAATATTAACATTGTGTAATCAATGCCACTGATGACTTCAGGGTTGGGAATTAGCTCAGGGTTGGGAATTAGGTTGGTACAGCATCTGCCTAGCATGTGTGAGGTCCTAGATTCAATTCTCAGCAACAGCACTGCTTTGGGGTACAGCCAATCACTAAATTATTATTCCTAAAATTCTATTTCTAAGCCCAGTGTGGTAGCACACACCTATAATCCCAGCTCCCAGAAGGCTGAAGCAGGAGGATCAGCCCGGGCAACTTAGTGAGACCCTATTTCAAAATAAAATAAAAAGGGCCAGGAACAGTGGAGCATGCCTGTAATCTCAGCAGCTTGGGAGGCTGAGGCAGGATGATCGCAAGTTCAAAGCCAGCCTTAGCAAAAGTGAGGCCAATGCGCTAAGCAACTCAGTGAGACCCTGTGTCTAAATAAAATACAAAAAATAGGGCTGGGGATGTGGCTCAGTTGTCCAGTGCCCCTGAGTTCAATCCCCACTACCCCCAAAAAATAAAATAAAATAAAAACGGCTGGGGATGTAGCTCAGTGACAGTGTGCTTGTGTATCATGTGAGGCCCGGGGTTCCATCTCCAATGTGGGGGAAGGGGGGGGGGGGACCCTACCTCCTTGGAAATTCATGTCCCAGTCTTTACTAGGCAGTAAAGATACTCAGAGGTCTATCCTGGGGCTATATCTATCTCACAGATGAGATACCATCAACTGATGGCCCAAGCACTGCCTTTCTAATGTGGACAGCTCCAGTTTCACATACCTTCCTCCCACTGCTTCCAGAGCATTCCGGCAGGCAGTGGATACCTCCTGATTAAACCCACTCTGTGGGCAAAACTACCCCTGGTCATCAGCTCCTGAACTGCATTTCAGACATCTTGCCTCCAGATTGCCTGCCCAACACCCCATGCTCCAGCAGTTATTTTACTCCAAGCAGGCTCCCAGTTCACGACCTCAGTGTCCTCCCCATGTCTGCCACATCTGCCGACTCCTCAGCAGCTCAGAAGGTTGCCATCTCCTGCTGGCCAAGTCTTCTCCTGGCCTGGTCTTCTCCCAGCCTGGTCCGCCTGCCTTGCACCCATGAAGCTGAGTTTTGTCAGAGAAAAATCACAAACAGGTTTCCTTCTCAGATTCAAACCCGCAAACCTCAAAGGGCTGCAACACTGCCCGGCAAGCCTGGGGCATTTCCCTAGCAAGTGTTTCCTCAACCTCGGAAGTGGCAATTACACTTCTCTTTTTATACTTCCAACATCAACATCCCTAGTCCTTGGTCAGGCCACGTTCCTTCAGTCAGTACCACAGCTTTATGCCAATGATCCCAGGTTTATGGTGCCACCTCAGACCCTCCAGGGTTCCTACTGACCACCTGATATCCCTCCACAGAGCTAAAACAGGATTCCTCCTTTCTCCCTCCAAATCTACCCCTTCCCTGGAGCCTCCACCTCAGTAAATGGTTCCGCCATTCCTCCCCGTCTACCAAGGGAATTGGGACTTACCCTTTATTTCTCCTTTTCTCACAGCTTCCTCATCCAGCCCATTACCAAACCCAGTCCGTTCACCTCCAAAACTTATCCCCATCAATTCTGCCCCATCACTGCCACTCCCCTAAGATAAACCGCCAGCATCGCCCACCTGCCAACCGACCCCAACGGCCTCCAATGAGGTTTCACCAGCTCCATCTACCCCAGCCCCAAGTCACTCTCCACGGAAGCCTGAAGCACATGTGAAAACAGAAGCCAGCTTCTGCTTACAACCCTTTGATGTCTCCCCAAGACGCACATCAAAACAGAAGTGTGGAATATGATATGTCAAGAAATTTGTAATGTTTTGAACAACCCACAATAAAAAATTTAAAAAAAAAAAAAACAGACTCTTTTCTTACAGAAAAGTAGGATGGCTAAGGGATAGGTTGGTGGGAGAAGGCTCCAAATGACAGAGGGGACTGCCTGAGTAGATGGCTGGGGAGCTCGGAATTTGTTTTATTAATTTTCAATTTGGAATATATGAATAAGGTAGAAAATTCAAAAGGCACAACCCAGCAGAGAGCGAAGCCTCCCTCCTGTTTCCCAATTCCTTTTGTACTTTGCAGAATCCATACCCTGCCCACATCCCAGCAGAGCCCCTCCCCTCACACACATACCTGCAAGCACGCAGCACACACAATTCTACCCCTTTTCCCTCACTTCTTAGAAGCTGGAGTTCTGTCCCTATTGGCATCTACAGAGATGAGCAGCCTCCCATGACATGAATAGACCCCCCCTGGGCAGCCGGGTGTTCCCTAGTCCTTGGTCAGGCCACATTCCTTGCCACCTGCCTTCCCGACCTAAGGACCCACCGGAGGTGCCCCACACGAGGGCCTTAACTTGCTAAGCCCTCTCATGCCTTGGGCCCTGTTTGCTCTTGTGCTGCCATACATGCTTTTCCTTATGATGGCTGGCTCCTTTCCTTTTCTTGGTTCATCCTCAAATGTCACCTCAAGTGGCATGCCCTGACCACCCTATCAAAAAGCGGTACTCCTCAGCTTCTGCTTCTGTTTCTTTCCTTTACAGCATTTCTCCCAACATAATCATCTGATGTGATTGGTTACCTTTCATCAAAGCTCCAAGAGAGCAGTGGCTTTCTTTCATAAGACTACAGCTCTAATCCAGAACTATGCAGAATAATTAGAATGAGCAATAAAGATTTCCTGCTGCTTGTTTCTTCAATGCTGAAGAGTAAACCAGGGTTTTGTGCATGGTAGGTAAGTACTCCACCACTGACTTACACCCCCAGCCCAATGAAGATGTTTTGAATGAATGATTTTGCATAACACTATATTTTGTACAAGGTTCCAGGCACCATGGTAGGTACTTTGCACAAATATCACTCAATTCTCCCAATAGTTTACAGATAAGAAAGATAATAGAGATCTCTCTCTCTTTCTATCACCAGTCCTTTCATTTTATTTTATTTTAGGTACCAGGGATTGAACCCAAGTGCTCTTAACCACTGAGCCACATCCCCAGCCCCCTCTCTCTCTCTCTTTTTTTTTTTTTTTTTTTTTTTTTTTTTTTGTACTTTTATTTAGAGACAAGTTCTCACTGAGTTACTTAGCGCCTCACTAAATTGCTGAGGCTGGCTTTGAACTCACAATACTCCTGCCTCAGCCTCCTGAGCCACTGAGACTACTGGGATTACAAACATACACCACCACACTCAGCTTTGATTTTTTATTTTGACACAGGGTCTCACTAAATTGCCAAAGCTGGCCTTGAACTTGTGATCCTCTTGCCTCAGCCTCCCAAGTAGCTGGGATTACAGGCATATGCCACCATAAACAATATAGAAAGTAATCTCTCAAGAAAAGTAGTGCATATTCAAACCAGAACTGACTCTACATTTTTTTTAATATTTTTTTTAGTTGTAGATGGACACAATACCTTTATTTTACTTGTTTTTATTTTTATGTGGTGCTGGGAATCAAACCCAGTGCCTCACACATGCTAGGCAAGAGCTCTACCACTGAGCCACAACCTAGCCCTAGGACTCTACATTCTATGTGATATTGTTTAAATGCAAAGGCTTAGAAACTATCCCAAGCTAAGTAAAACACAGCAATTACAATTATCACACCTAAGATGCACAAGTACACATGCAGGATGGGAAAAAGCTCACCTTGATGGTAAGAGTGATTCTTTAACACATTAAATGAGAAGGGCACTGGATAGGCAACTTCCTCACTCCCTAGACTTCAGATTTTATGTTTGCAAAGGGAAAAAAAAATGCATACTCAAAGTTTAAGAGGTAGATAGGAAAGTGTTAAAAGGTTAGTTGAATTGACCGTTTTTACAGTATTGTTTGTTCTGATTTAATACCACTTATACAAGTAGCTTTTTATTTCACATCTGATTTGAAGCCATTTTACCTGTACCACACAAATCTTTTTTTATTCAAAACTCAAATCTCTTTGTAATTTTTCTCTCTTCTTAAACTGTCTCAATAACACAGATGTTAAATACCTAGAATTTATCTGTAAAATTATCTTATTTCAGGATTCCCAAAACCACATTCTTCCTGTTTTTGAACATGTTCCAAGGACAACAACGTTGTCTTTGCCAGGCTGGCAAGGTCGAAACCAACCTGGGAAACTTAGTAAACCCCTGTCTCAAAGAAAAAAAAAGAAGAAGTTGGGGAGCCTGAGGGTGTAACTCAAAGGTAGAGCACTTGCTTTGACTGCAATTACCTAGCACGCACCAGGCCCTCGGCTCAATCCCCAACACAGGAGGAAAAACAAGTCTGATTCTGCCCACCGGGAACGATTCTTCCTATAAACAGTTCGGTAACAATGTACCACCAGGTCGCCTACCGTCTCAAGAACCCCAGGATGCAGGGGCACACGTCCCATTATCTCCTGTCAAAACGAAGAATAAACAGACCACACTCTGCAAATCAGTGTGGAGGGAGGAATGAGGAGTCACAGGGCCGTCAATTCCGGGGCTGAGACCACGATCATTCCCAAATCACAACCCAGGACCTCAGCCTCTCTGCCCTCTGCGCATCCTTTCCGACCGCGTCCCAGCCACTGGGCAGTCCCTCGCCCGGGCTCAGGACCTGCCCTTTGCTGGTGAAGTCCGAGCCTGCGGGCTCCAAGGCCGCGGCGGGTCCACGAGGGGCACAAAAGCCCCCGCCCCCCGCGGGCTCAGACCCGGACGCGGGTCGCCACGGGGCCCTTCCCGCGGCTCCCCGGAGGTCCCCGACCGCCGCGGGACCCACAGCCCGCGCGGGGCCACCGGGGAGCGAGCGGAGGGCCGCGCCCGGGCGCCACACCCACCAGCTGCCAGCGCCCCCAGCCCCGCACCGCCCTCGCGTCCCGGGAGCCCCGCGGGCCCGTCCCCTCCCCAGCCGGGCTCGGGCTGCACGCGCTGGAGCTCACGCACCCGAGACCCGCAGGATTCCCCCGCTGCGGCCGGCCGCTCCGCGCTCTGGCTCCGCTCAGCTCCGCGCCGCTGCCCGCCGCCCCCGCCGCCACCTCACCCTCGGAGCCACGGCCAGGGCTTCCGGGCGCGAGCGCGGTGCAAGCCGGGAGTTGTAGTCCCGCCGCGCGGCTTTACCTACGGGCGGGGCGCTTCCGCGGCGCCGAGGCCCCAGCCCCGGGCTTGGGACACCGCCGGGGTTGCTGGCCAAGAAAGTCAAGAGGAAAAACAGAGCTGAAACGCGGGGGGAAACGGACGGACAGATGTTTTTTTCAACGAACCATTATTCCATTTTTATTTTTATGGAATATTTTTATTTTTATTCCATTCTTTTATTTTTTTAATTTTAATTTTATTCTTTATTGCTGTGCTACTGACCTGGCTAAGCATTAAATTTTTGCTTAAACCAAGTAATGCAGTTGCTAGGGCTGGGGATAAGGCTCAGTTGGAGAGTGCTTGCCTCCCATGCACAATGCCCTGAGTTCAATCCCCAGCTCCACCAAAAAATAAATAGATGCAGTTGCCCATTTTGGCAGGACCTTTAGTCTGTGAGTATCATACACAGTTTTGTTTGCACCACGCCCCATCTGCCCTAATAACATCAATGTAGCCTTCAGCAAAGTTAAAGCCTTACAACACAGCTCTGAGCAAGGGTCCATTTAGGCAAATAAAGGCAAAGGTGCGCTGCCTCCTGGGGGCTTTCAACTGTTGGGGAAATGAAGTTGATATTTTTTTAGGTGTAGATGGACACAACACAATACCTTTATTTTATTTTATTTATTTATTTTTTTAATGTGGTGCTGAGGATCAAACCCGGGCCCCACCCGTGCTAGGGGAGCGCTCTACCGCTGAGCCACAATCACAGCCCCAGAAATACAGTTCTTTATATATATATATATATCTGAATAGTAGAGCACTTGCCTAACGTTTGAGTCCCAGGCTTCAACCTCCAGTATCACATACACACACACACACAAAAGTGAAAATAGTAAAAAAAAAAAAGTGAAATATGTGGTATATATGTACATATTTGTGCATTTCTTTGTATATATACATGCACATGTGATTATGTTTATGCATGGATAACAAGTGCACAACCTCTGTTACTTCCACCCACGGCAAGAATACTTAATTTCCCCATAGCCCACACAATGCCCTTTCAACTTGGGGGAGAGGGTTGGATAGGGAGAGACAGTATCTCTGGACTTAATTTTTTAATCACCTGGACATTTTTAACATTTGGTTCCTACCTCTGGGTGCTCTCTGAGTGCTGGGTCTGTTAGCTGACTTACTTTTTAACCACAACCATTACCAGAGGAAATACAATATTTTGCACCTGACCTCCTTGACACAGATACCAAGTCTACTTCCTGCCCCAGCCTGTGCTTCTGTGGTAGATCCTGACCTACATTTGATTTCCAAGTTGAGGACATGTCATGGTGGCTCTCAAAGCAGCAGCCCAGGGCTGGGGATATAGCTCAGTTGGTAGAGTGCTTGCCTTGCATATACTAGGCCCTGGGTTCTGTCCCCAGCACCACAAAAAAAAGAAGCAGCCCACAGAGCAGAGCAGCATTTGGCAGTGTCTTTTTTTGTTTGTTTTCTTGCTCTACCTGCCAGCAGCATAGTGGTGTCTGTAATCCTATCGATTCAGGAGGCTTAGGCATGAGGATTGCAAGTTTGAGGCCAGCCTCAGAAACTTTAGTGAGACCCTATCTCAAAATATTTTTTTTTTTCTTTTATGGTGCTGGGGATTGAACCCAGGGCCTTATGCATGTGAGGCAAGCATTCTATCAACTGATCTATATCCCCAGCCTCAAAATAAAAATTTATAAAAAGGGCTGGAACAAGGGGTGGATGATGTAATGAGAGGAGGAAATGCTGAGGAGTAATAATGGCCAAATGATGCTGTTTTATCATTGTGTGCATGTAGGAATATATAACAAATCCCATCAGTATGTTCAACAAGAAGGCACCAATTTTTAAAAGATGTGAGAAGGAAAACAAGGGGCTGGAGTTGTAGCTCAGTGGTAGAGCACTCCTGGGTTAAATCCCCAGTGATACCCCTGCCCCCATCGCCACCACGGGCAAGGAAAAAAAGAAAGAATTTTTTTTTTGGGGGGGATGGGGTGCTGGGCCTTGTGCATGCAAGGCAAGCACTCTACCAACTGAGCTATATCCCCAGCCCAAGAAAGAACATTTTACCTCATTCCCAGTATACACAACTGCATGTATACAACTGACCCAAACATTTTCTAAAGCAATACTTACCATTATTAAATCATGCACATTCTGAATTTCCCCCCAACCTCTTCTTGTAAAACTGCTGATTGCAACCTACTCAAGTTGATTTGGGACTCTTTCCTAGAAAACACTATACCAATTTCAGTATTTTATCAATCAGGATGTTTCCAATTCTATTTTGCTCCTGGTGCTATTTAACAGCAATGCATATTACCCTGCATATATGTAGGTATACAGCCCTATACCTACCTCATGTAGAAAATCTGGGGGGTTTTGGTTTGTTTTTTTGTTTTGTTTTGTTTGGTTTTGTTTGGACTGGGAAGTGAACCCGAGGTGTTTTACCACAGAGCTACATTTTCAGCCCTTTTTGATTTTTATTTTGAGACAGGGTCTTGCTAAATTGCTTAGAATCTCATTAAGTTCCTGAGGCAGGTCTCCAACTTGAGATCCTCCTACCTCAGCCTCCCAGATCACCTAGTCCTTATGCTAGACTCCGAGAAGCAGTTAGTATTCTAGACTCTGTGGGGAATAGAAGGAGAAATCCATCACAGCTCTACGCATCTACCACCAGCCTTCAGAACTGCAGGTTTGAGGTTTTCCAAGACCTAGAGATTAACCTTCACCGAGTGGTAGAATTTTGGAGTGAGATGAGACTTTTGTTCCGTTCTTTCTTCACACACACACCTTCAAAGTCCTTTTTTTCACCTCCTCTTTGCTCACTTCCTCTCTCTCAGGGACTTCTCAAAAAGAGCTTTTCAAATCGACAAAGCAATTAAGTCACTTAAGACTCAGTATCCTTCTAACAACCCCCAGCCCAGCCAAACAGGGGACACCAGGGGAAATGACAGATGCCAGGTGCAGGAGCAGGGGCAGCATGATTGCTGGAGGGGAGCTGGCTCCGGGTGTTCCAGTCACCTCCATGACTGAGGTGGCTTGTGGCAGGTGGGAGGGACTGTGTTTGCTTTCCTTTCACTTTCTCAGGCCACAAAACCTGATACCTGGGGCCAGAACTACAGTTCCCACCACGCAGCGAGGCAGGAGGAAGAAGGGGCACCGAGGGCTGCAAAGGAAACCAAGAGAAGAAGACAGCATTACCTCTGGCTAGCACAGGTGAGAGAGGGAGACAGGTAAGCCACAGGTGAGCCAGGAAGGTAAAGGTGCAGGATGTGAGCTAAGGGGTGGCTCAGTTTCTCCTTGTGGAGCACATGGCTAAGTCGCAGAGGGCTTTGGTGGAAACCCTGGGGGCTTACAGGGGAAAGGGAAGGAGGGACATGAAAATAAGATTTCAGCTCAAGTTCAAGTGATGAGACCGGAAGTGGAATGGCTTTCTTAGTTGAAAAGTCAGAGGGAAATAAAAAAAAAAAAAAAAGTGGTTTGAGTATGCCTTTTGTCTACTAGATCATTTAGCCTTATGTGATATCCGAGGCATCCAAGAAAGATATGGCTCTTTTTGATTCCTTTAAAACCCTGGGTTTTACATATTTACATACAGACTGGATATTTTTATGATGATATAGACTTGGATTTTTTTTTTTTTTTTTTTTTTTTTTTTTTTTTTTACTTTGGATTGAACCCAGGGCGCTCAACCACTGAGCCACATCCCCAGCCCATTTTATTTTTTTTCTGTCGAGGCAGGGTCTCACTAAGTTTCTGAGGCTGGCTTTGAACTTGTGATCCTCCTGCCTTAGCCTCCTAATCCTGCACCTGTCTCTGGGATTACAGGCATGCGCCATGTGCCCAGCTAGACTTGGTTTTTCTATAATGTTAGAGAAAAGAATAAATCAGGGGAAAGTGAAGAAGAGTGTCAATACAGGAACTTTTTTAGCACATCAAATTTTTATCATCAAATAGGATAAGGTTTCATTTACTTTCATGAGATTTCTGATGAGGAGACCTAACGCAATATCATATAAAGGACAGTTAAAGGCTGTTTACCTTGAGGGAATAGCTTTCTGCTACAAGTGTTTGATGAGCTGTCATGTGGAACAGGAATGTGACATGTTTTGGCACAGCAAAGGTATCTCTGGGGTTGACAGACTGAAATCCCAAGGAAATGGGTTTCAACCCCGCAGAAGTCAGAGCTGCCCAATGGGTCATTTTCAGGAGGTAGTGACAGCGATATTAAAGGTGAGAATAAAGTTTCAGGTGATTGCTTGTGTTAACGAGTGTTCCCCAAACCTGGCTTGTCATCAGACTCTTCTGGGGAATGTGTATGTGTATGTTCTGTTTGTGTTTTTTTTAGTTTTAAAGTGTATATAATGGATCTGGGATGGGTTCTGGGAATACATATGTTTTAATTATCTTCCCAGGTAAATCTGATAATCAGTTAGTTTGGGGAAACACTACCATTAAACACTTTTAAGTTAGCTGGGCATGGTGGCACACACCTGTAATCCCAGTGACTCAGGCGACTGAGACAGGAGGATTCCAAATTCAAGGTCATCCTCAGCAATTTAGCAAGTCCTTAAGCAACTTAGCTATACCCTGTCTCAAATAACAAATAAAAAGGGCTGGGAATGTAAATCAGAGGTAAAGCACCCCGGGATTCAATCCCCAATACCCAAGTAAATGAATAAATAATTAGGCCACATCATTCTTCCCTGAACTGACCCCGAAGTAACTCCCAGTCAAATCTCCTCAGTCCTGTCTCAGGCTTCCTGGGCAGGAAGTCCTCTGGTGGTTGGGAGGCTTCTCCCCAAAGTGAAACTGACATACACATGTCCTCCACCTGATTAATGGCAGGGAAGTCATTCCTGGGGGCACTTCCTCTGCCATCTTGCTCTCTGATGGCACATGGGGCACCTTGTCTCCTGGACTAGGCTTTCTCAATGCTGTGATCTGGAGAACAGGCATTCTCCACCCACCAGAGAATGACAGCAGTACCTTGTCATTCTGAGGGCACCCCTAAAGCACTGTCAACACATGGTGAAGGTATGGACTTGTGGGGAAGTCTGGTACTGCCATCATTAGCATCCCGCGCCCACGAGAATGTTTGAGCTGTGAAAGCCACCATGGCCCTCTGTCTTGTCTTCTGCTGGGTGTCCAGTGCCTGCTGCCTGGTGGGTGCTCACTAGAGAGAAGCTGAATCCCTTCTTTTCTTAGGTCTATTCCAGGTGATCAGAGTCATGCAGTTCTACAGCTCAGCCAGGGCAGCAGATGAGAACTTTGACTATTTGTTCAAGGTTATCCTCATTGGGGATTCTAATGTGGGGAAGACATGTGTGGTTCAGCATTTCAAATCTGGGGTCTACACTGAGACACAGCAGAACACCATCGGGGTGGACTTCACTGTGCGCTCCCTGGAGATTGACGGCAAGAAAGTAAAGGTGAGAGGAGCACAGGGTTGCTTTGCCTCCTTTAGTCAGAGTTCCCAACATGAAGCTCATCCATATCCCCCTGGAATGGGGGACATGAGTCTTTTAATTAAGGCATGAGTGCAGAAGCCATACAGGAAACAAAGGAAAGGGCAAAAAAATTCCACATACTCAAAAAATACCATAAGCAAAGTCAAAAGATGCAGGACAAACTGTAAGGAAATATTTGCAGTAGGAGACTGACAAACTGCTAATTTTATTAATGTGAAAAGAGCTCTGATAAATATCTAGAAAAAAAGACCAACAACCAAATACAAAAAGTGGCCAATTCACAGACTGGACAAACCTACTATTTTCCAAGCTTTATAACTACTAGTTCAGAGATTAAAATATAGATGCCCATCCTCACTCTCAACATATAAATTTAAATCACAGCAAGCTGGGTGTAGTGGCACATACCTGTAATCCAGTGGCTTGGGAGGCTGAGGCAAGAGGATCACGAGTTCAAAGCCAGCCTCAGCAAAAGCAAGGCACTAAGCAATTCAGTGAGACCCTGTCTCTAAATAAAATTCAAAATAGGGCTGGAGATGTGGCTCAGTGGTCCAGTGCCCCTGAGTTCAATCCCTGGTACCTATCCCCCGGCAAAAAAAAAAAAAAAATCAGTGCAAGATAATATGTTTTGCCAGATGTGCCTATAATCCTAGTGATTCAGGAGGTTGAGGTAAGAGGATCACTAGTTAAGGGCCAGCCTGGGCCTCTCAAAAACTAAAAAGGGCTGGTGATGTATGTAGCTCAGGGGTAGAACCGTCCATAGTTCAATCCCCAGTACTGTCCCCCAAACAAACAAACAAACAAAATGGTTAGTGAAATGTAATCAATGGATCTTATTTGTGATTTTTTTCCATACTGGAGATTGAACCCAGGGCGCTTTACCATTGAACTTCATTCCCAGTCCTTTTTATTCTTTATTTTTGGGTATCAAGGATTGAACTCAGAGGCACTCAACCACTGAGCCAAATCCCCAGCCCTATTTTGTATTTTATTTAGAGACAGGTCTCACTGAGTTGCTTAGTGCCTCACTTTTGCTGAGGCTGGCTTTGAACTCAAGATCCTCCTGCCTCAGCCTCTGGAGCCACTGGAATTATAGGCATGTGCCACCATGCCCAGCTCTTTTTATTTTTTATTTGGAGACAGGGTCTAAATTGCTGAGGGTTATTTGTTTTTTGTTTGTTTGTTTTGGTTTTTTTGAAACCATGGATTGATCCCAAGCACACTGAGCCACATCCCCAGCCCTTTTTTATATTTTATTTAGAGACAAGGACTCACTGTGTTGCTTAGGGCCTCACTAAATTACTGAGGCTAGCTTTGAACTCAGAATCCTCCTGCCTCAGCCTCCCAAGCTACTGGTATTACAGGTGTTTATTGGGTATCTTTTTAATTTTTTTTTAATATTTTTTAATCGTTGACAGACCTTTATTTTATTCATTTATTTGTATGTGGTGCGGAGAATGGAACCCAGTGCTTCACACATGCAAGCCAACTGCTCTACCACTGAGCCACAACCCAGCCCCTTTTTTATTTTTAATAGTTTTTTAGTTGTAGGTGGACACAATATCTTTATTTATTTATTTATTTTATGTGTTGCCGAGGATCAAACCCAGTTCCTCACACATGTGAGGCAAGCTCTCTACCACTGAACCACAACCCCAGTCCTATTTGAGATCTTGATGAAATAAAAACAACTGTAAAAACGTATTTGGGCTTTGGGCTGCTGGGGATCTAGCTCAGTTGGTAGAGTGCTTGCCTTGCACGCACAGGCCCTGGGTTCAATCCCTAGCACAAAAAAAAAAAAAAAAAAAAAAAGTGGGCTGAACATGGTGGTGCAAACCTGTAATCCTAGCAATTCCAGAGGCTAAGACAGAATGATCACAAGTTAGTTCAAGGTCACCTTGCAAAATTTAGCAAGACCTTGTCTCAAAGTAAAAAATAACCCAGTGAGCTAAGGTTGTATCTCAGTGGTAGAGCATCCCTGAATTCGATCCCATATAGGAAAAAAATAAAATAAAAAAATTGAACTTCTAATTCCAGGTACTTGAGAGGCTGAGGGAATAAGATTACAACTTTGAGGCCAGCTTGGGCAATTTATGGAGCCTCATCTCAAAAATAAAAAGGGCTGGAGATTTACCTCTGTGCTAAGCACTTGCCTAGCATGTGGGGGATGCTGGGTTCAACCCCTGATGGCCAGGGGATGGATATTTTGGAAATCATCAGGAAATTGTTAATATGGTCTGGCTACTAGATGTTACCAAAGAGATAGCTGGGCACGGTGGTGCATGACTGTAATCCCAGCAACTGGGGAGGCCGAGGCAGGAGGATCACAGGTTCAAGGCAAGTCTTAGCAACTTAGTGAGACCCCGTCTCCAAATTAAGAAAGGGGGGGGGAGGGGCTGGGAATGTGGTTCAGTGGTTAAAAAATAAAAACACCTTAGATTCAATCCCCAGTACCAAATAATAATAATAATTTAAATTAATTCATTAAAAAGAGTTCAACCAATGCCATCCCCCATCAATGGGCAGGCTCAAAAGATAACCCCAAAATCTGGACTTAAGGACATTGAGGTAAGAAGTCAAAAGAACAAATGCTGTGCTTCTCAGGGAAGCATCCTGTAGGTGGTGATATGCAGTCCTGAAAACACCTCGGTCCCAGTCACCCTGGGAACAACTAAAACAGATTCCCCGCCCAGCCCTGCAGGAAAATGAGTGAGACCCAGGACACTGCGTTCGAGTTACTCGGGGGAAAGAGGTCGCGTGTGGCCGGACGCCTGAAGGCCCTTCTTCTGTCCTTCTGCAGATGCAGGTGTGGGACACCGCGGGCCAGGAGCGCTTCCGCACCATCACCCAGAGCTACTACCGCAGCGCCCACGCGGCCATCATCGCCTACGACCTCACGCGGCCGTCCACGTTCGAGTCGGTCCCTCACTGGATTCACGAGATAGAGAAGTACGGAGCGGCTAACTTGGTCATCATGCTGATCGGTACGGCGTTCCCCGGGAGGCTCACTGTTTTCTTGACCAGCCCCCTCTGCGGGCGCCCAGCGTGTCGCGAGTTTCCCAGGGCAGGCGGTGGGACGTGACAGCGACGGACGGGACCTAAAAACTACCTTGCCCAGAAATTCCCAATAGATTCATTGGAGCATGAGAGTGGGGTGGTGCGAACTTGTTAAAGGTACAGATTTCTAGGCTGGGGACGCAGCTCAGCGCCAGAGCGCACGCCTGCGGTGCGCACGGTCTTGGGCTCCGGCTCCAGAGGGGCGGGCGCCGGACAGATTTCGCCACCCCTCCCCCGAGCTCTCATTGGGTGGATCTGGGGTGGGCGGAGAGACCCCAGCATTCCGCGTGCACAGGTGCTGTGTGGACTGCACAGGTAGTACTACTGGAGTCTGAAGTTAACAGACAGGTGGTTCCAAATCCCCAGGACGTCACTCAGATGAATGGGCCTCGCTATTGAATGACTTCATTGAATGATTATCTATATTCTTTAAGACCCTGAAACAGCCGGGCGCGTTGGTGCAAGCCCGTAATTCCAGCGGCTCCAGAGGCTGAGACTGGAAGATTGGGATTTCAAAGCCAGTCTCAGCAACAGCGAGGCACTAAGCAACTGAGTGAGACTCTGTCTCTAAATAAAATATAAAATAGGGCTAGAGAAGTGGCTCAATGGTCAAGGGCCCTTGACTTCAGTCCCCGATACCCCCCCCCCCCCCCCCCCCCAAAAAAAAAAGACCCTAAACTATCCAGATGTGCCCAAGCCTGTAATCCCAGCAATTTAGGAGGCCCAGGCAGGGGATCACAAGTTCAAAGCCAACCTCAGCAATTTAGCCAGGCCCTAAGCATATCTCAAAATAAAAAGGGCTGGGGATGTGGCTCAGTGGTAAGGAGCCTCTGAGTTCAATCCCGACCCCCCCCCCCCCAAAAAAAAAAAAAAAAATCCTAGACCAATCTTAACAACAAACCATCATGAAAATCAAGGGAAAATTTAGTTACACAATGAAAACTTCCTGCTTTGAAATATGGGCAGTCCTATTGTACATTTAGAAAAGCATTTCTCTGCTACTTGAGTATTGCAAGCCGAGTTGGCTTTTCCTCCCTCCTAGAAATACTACTGTTTACCAAGTGGTTGCTAAATTTTAGTTTTAGGTTTAGTTTTAGGTTGCTAAGTTTTAAGTTTAGGCTAGAAGTCTGGTCTGTGTACCAGCAGCATCACTTGGGAGTTTGCTCTCAGGGTAAGAAGATCTCAGGCTCTACCCCAGACCTGCTGAGTCAATCTTCATCTTAACAAGATCCTGGGGTGACTCAAATGCATGTTACAGTGTGTAAAGCACAGCTAAAACTTGCAAAGATAGCTAGCTATGGGACTGAGAAAGAGCTAACCATCCCAGGTGTAATGGCTAGTGCAAGACCTGTCTAGTATATCCTAACCCTGTGGCGAGTTATCTCTGAGATATGGTATGCTCATCTATATGATAGGACTAATAGTATTGATAGGATAAGACTTGGTAGTGGGGTTGGGGATATAGCTCAGTTGGTAGAGTGCTTCCTTGCATGCACAAGGCCTTGGTTCAATCCCTAGCACCACAAAAAAAAAAAAAAAAAAAAAAAAGGACTTAGTAGTATTGTAAAGATTTAATGAACCCATGGGAGGCTGAGGCAGGAAGATCTCAAGTTTGAGGGGTTGTTGCTCAGTGGTAGAACACTTGCCTAGCATGTGTGAAGCACTGGGTTCGATTCTCAGCACCACATATAAATAAATAAAGGTCCATTGACAACTAAAAATTTTTTTTTAACTAATAATAATATGAGCTGGAGAAAGTCAATTAGTGGTAAAGCACCCTGGATTCAATTCCCAGTACAAAAATAAAATAAAATAAAAATTTAATGAGCTGGGCATGATGATGCACACCTGTAATGCCAGCTTTTCAGGAGGCTGAAGCAGGAGCATTCCAAGTTGGAGACCAGCCCAGGTGACTTAGTGAGATTCTATCTCAAAATAAAATTCAAGAAAGGGCTGGGGGTGTCGCTCAGTGGTAAAGTACTTGACTAGCATACTCAAGGCCCTGAGTTTAATTCCCAGTAAGAAAAAAAAAGAAAGAGATGATGTACATAAGTACAATGCTATGGCACATAGTAAGCGCTTAATAAAGAGTAGGATTTGTTTCTAGAATGTTCATTTGTTTGAAGGAACTAACTTATCTATGGTCCCCAAATAACAGGGGCCTTGCCGGGTGCACACCTGTAATTCCAGTGGCTCTGAAGGCTAAGGCACAAGGATTCCAAGTTTGAGCCCAGCCTCAGCAAGGCCCTTGGCAACTTAGCAAGACCCTGTCTCAAAATAAAAATATAAAAAAGGTCTGGAAACTTAGCTCAGTGCTACAGTGCCTTTGGATTCAATCCCCAGTACCAAAAAAATGTTTAATTAATAACAGTAGGGATCCCCAGCACCATAAATAATAATAACAATAACAATGGCCTATGTAAAAGGTCGAAATGCATGGGAAAAGTCAAGCAGTCAAGCCCTGCTAGGGCTAGGACCATAGTAGAATTAGGCCACCAAAAAGCAACAGGCTGCTGGGCTCGGTAGTGCACACCTGTAATCCCAGCGACTCAGGAGGCTGAGACAGGAGAACACCAGTTCAAAACAGCCTCAGTGATTTAGCAAGGCCCTAAGCAACTCAATGAGACCCTGTCTCTAAATAGGGCTAGGGATGTGGCTTAGTGGTTGAGTGCCCCTGAGTTCAATCCCTGGTACCCCCCCCCCCAAAAAAAAAAAAGTAAGAGGCTGAGGATCCCCTTCTCAGGACTGGACCAAGGTCTAGGCTCTGGGCCCACCCTCCCCTTGCCCTGTAAACCAGCCCCCTTGCCCTCTACATGCAGCTGTGTTCTCTGACTCAGAGCTGGTTCTCACACATGGGATAACCTGGGCCAAACACATTCTTTCACAGCTGGACAGTCCCTCATGGATTCCCTGAAAGCATCCTCCCAGGCCTGCTCTGCTAAAAAAGCCCATCCTCTCAGTATCTCCCGTCTCACTTCCTTAGGAAGGAATCCTGTTGCTCTACTCCTCTTTTCATGGCAAAGCATGGTCCAGGCCATAAGATAAACTGGCCTGGAATAGGGAGCCCAGCCAGACCCAGTGACTGGACCCCAGCGGAAGAGAAGGTCACAGGACACAAAACCCACTTGTGGATGGGCTGTTGCCTTGAAGAGGTCATTGGCCTGTTGTTGGTACAGATTTATTACTTTCATGAGTCCAAAAAGGATTTGCATTTCAGAACCTTTATTCCTTAGGTCTTTGCTGGAGTTTTTCTTTTTGTTTTGTTTTGTTTTGGGGTGCTAGGGATGGAACCCAGGGCCTCCAGCAGGCTAGGCAAATGCTCTACCACTGAGTACACTCCCGGCTATGTCCTGACTCCCACTCTGGCCTGTCTCATGCCCAGATTTGAGGATAGTGTTGCTGCTTAACTCATTCTGCTTCTCCTCACTGAATAACTGAAGCCTGGACTGCTCGCCCTTGCCTGCTGCCTCAGACCCAGAGCCTGATTCCACAGTCTGCTGCCAAAGGGAATGCCCCCCACATGTAGTTCCCTCTTTTTGGAATGTGTCCTTTCCCACATCCATGGACCAGGGAGGGGACTTCTGCATAGAGGGTCCTCATCTGTTCTGGAAAGGAGTCAGAGGCCACCTCTCTTCTCAAAGGTCCCCTTCAGGACCAGAACTTATGACTTCTGATAGGGCACTTACAGTGACAAAGTTCAGAGTTATGAAGATAAAAATGCACCTGGAAAGGGTCCATATGTCTTCTTCAACAAACGTTTCTGCAAAGCACCAAGTGGGCAGCTCACCAGGGTTTCCAGATTAAATTAGGCAACAGATACAAATCACTTAGTTCCCAGCAAGCTGCACAACAACTGCTTCCTATGAGCAATGCCCCCCAGGGGTGCAGGACAGGACAGTGCTAGGAAGATAGAGTACAGGTGACACTCATAAAACACTTAGAAGGCTCTGGTCTAAGTTCACTCCTGGATTATTCCATGAATCCTCACCACAACCCTAACAGTGGAGACTACAGTCCACATTTCCTAGAGAAGGGAATGGAGGATAAGTGTGCAGGCAGGTAACTTAGCGCTATTACTTACAAGTGCAACAAGATTGGAGCCAGAGCATTGGTTCTCAGAGCCACTGGTGGGCTCAGCCCCTTTATGACTATTCTCCAACAGCTGATGAGACCCAGTCAGTCAGGGCTCTTGAAAGCTCTGATTGAGGCCACATCTATGCCTTTGTGCCTGGACTTTGGGACCAGATGTGAGTTTCAGTTTCCCTCTCTGTCCTATCTGTTGGAACTTGGGCTTCTTACTCTGAATTCTACTTCCTCAGCTATAAAACTCCTATTCTAGAACCTGCTCTGAAGGTTTTGTTACGTTAAAAAGATTAAATTAGGCTGGGGCTGTAGCTCAGTGGCAGAGTGCTTGCCTAGCATGTGTGAGGCACTGGATTCGATCCTTAGCACCACATAAAAATAAACAAATAAATAAAAGCATTCTGTCCATCTATAATTCAATTTAAAAAGAAAGATTAAATTAGTCAACAGTTACAAATCACTTAGTTCAGTGCTAAGCACTCAATAAAAGGTGGGTGTTATTTCCTAGTAGAAAGAGAACATTGCCAGACAGACTCCCCCAGCTAGACTTCATGCCCCCCCACTTATTCCCCTTCTCCAGAAGGTGAGCAAACGTAACTTTCATGAAAACCATTGCTTCTCTTTATCATTTTACTTCCTGAATCCATATCCCTAAATACTGCAGTTTTGTTTTGCTATTGACTTTAAATTTTATATCAAAATATAAAATTTATATCAGAATCATACAGAATGTCTTCCCCTCAATATTGTTCATGAGATTCATCCTCTTTGTTGCATACAGGTGTGATTTATTCTTTTGCATGATTTATATAATAATCCTTTGCACCAACATACTAGGCAACAGTTAGATCTTAAGTGCCCCTCAAAAGTCTATGGAGGCCTAATGCAGTGGCACATGCCTGTAATCTCTGCGGCTTGGGAGGCTGAGGCAAGAGGATCTCGAGTTCAAAGCCAGCCTCAGCAAAAGTGAGGCACTAAGCAACTCAGTGAGACTCTGCTTCTAAATAAAATACAAAAAAAGAGCTGTGAGGGCTGGGGATATAGTTGGTAGCATGTTTGCCTTGTATATACAAGGCCCTGGGTTCAAACTCCAGCACCTCACACACACACACAAAAAGGCTGTGGATGTGGCTCAGTGGTTAAGTGAGCGTGAGCCCTGAGTTTAATCCCTGGTACAAAAACAAACACACAATAAAACAAACTTCCAAAATACAAAACAAAAAACAAAAGCAACTAAAATAAATAGATGATGAAACAGTTTGTGTTTGGAATACAACTAAGCAATAAAAACTATTACTATTACATTGAAAATAGGCAAATGAACTACCAATGCATGCAACAATCTAGATGGATCTCTGCCACAGTCCGGCTGCAGCAAAATAACCGGGGGCGGGGGGGGGGGGGGGGGTGTGATGAGCAACTTGTGTAGATTGATGCAGCAGGAGTGGAAGCCGTTTATTGTAGGACAGGAGGGGTATATATACATTCCACACAGCTTATCTTAATTAACATAAAATAGATACACCAGTCAACCAATAAGAAATCTCCACACTTAATGGCTCACTGGCCTTACTTCACAAACCACTCCCTCTGGCAAAATGCCAGGCGCCATCCAGACTTGTTTATAGACTCTAACAGATCTCAAAGGAATTATGCTGCTGGGCATGGTGGTGTACACCTGTAATTCCAGCAGCTTGGGAGGCTGAGGCAGGATCACAAGTTCAAAGCCAGCCTCAGCAAAAGCAAGGCAGTAAGCAACTCAGTGAGACTTTGTCTCTAAATAAAATATAAAACAGGGCTGCGGATGTGGCTCAGTTGTCCAGTGCCCCTGAGTTCAATCCCTGGTACCAAAAAAAAAAAAAAAAAAAAAAAAGAATTATGCTGAGTGAAAAAAGCCAATCTATCTATCTCTCTAATTGTTTTATTTGTTTTAATTAGTTACACATGACAGTACATTGACCTTGACATATCATACATTTGAATAAGATGGGATATAATTTCTCATTTTTCTGAGTGTACAGGTTGCAGAATCATATTGGTCATGCAGCCACATATATACACACAGTAATAATAACGTCTGTTTCATTCTACTATCCTTCCTATCCCCCCATCCCCTCCCCTCCCCTCCCCTCCCATCACTTCTCTCTACCTAATCTAAGGTAATGCTTTTCTTTTTCTTTTCTCATATACATGTGTTTTGCAATTCCCCTTCTCCTTCCCTTTCTTTCCCACCCCTCTTCCCTATGTAAAGATAGTCTTCTTCCCCTGCTCTTCTTCCCTACCCTATTTTGCGTCACTCCCCTTATATCAGAGAAGACATTCGGCATTTGTTTTTTTTGGGATTGGTTAACTTCACTTAGCATAATCTGCTCTAATGCCATCCATTTCCCTGCAAATGCCATGATATTATTTTTTAGTGCTGAGTAATATTCCATTGTGTATACATGCCACATTTTTTTAATCCATTCATCCATTGAAGGGCATCTAGGTTGGCTCCACAGTTTAGCTATTGTGAATTGTGCTGCTATAAACATTGATGTGGGTGTATCCCTGTAGTATGCTGTTTTTAGGTCCTTTAGTCATAGAGGAATAGCTGGGTCAAATGATGGTTCCATTCCCAGTTTTCCAAGGAATCTCCATACTACTTTCCAAATTGATTGCAACAATTTGCAGTCCCACCAGCAATGTATAAGTGCACCTTTTTTCCCCCGCATCCTCACCAGCACTTGTTGTTGTCTGTCTTCATCATGGCTGCCATTCTTACTGGAGTGAGATGGAATCTTAGAGTAGTTTTAATTTGCAATTATCTGATTGCTAAAGATGATGAGCATTTTTTTGTATATTTGTTGATTGATTGTATATCCTCTTCTGAGAAGTGTCTGTTCAGGTCCTTGGCCCATTTGTTGATTGGGTTATTGTTTTTTTTTAGTGTTTAGCTTTTTGAGTTCTTTGTATATCTTTATAGAGATTAGAGCTCTATCTGATGTGTGAGGGGTAAAAATTTGTAGGCTCCCTATTCACCTCACATATTATTTCTCTTGCTGAGAAAAAAAAAAAAAACTTTTTAGTTTAAATCCATCCTATTTGTTAATTCTTGTGCTGTAGGCATCTCATTAAGGAATTTGGAGCCTAGCCCCACGTGATGGAGATTAGGGCCTACTTTTTCTTCTATTAGATGCAGAGTCTCTGGTTTAATCCCTAGATCCTTAATCCATTTTGAGTTAACTTTTGTGCATGGTGAGAGATAGGGATTCAATTTCATTTTGTTGAATATGGATTTCCAGTTTTCCCAGCACCATTTGCTGAAGATGCTATCCTTTCTCCAGTGCATGGTTTTGGCACCTTTGTCTAATATAAGGTAGTTGTAATTTTGTGGGTTAGTCTCTGTGTCTTCTATTCAGTACCACTGGTCTACTAGCCTGTTTTGGTGCCAGTACCATACTGTTTTTGTTACTATTGCTCTGTAGTATAGTGTAAGGTTTGGTATAGCGATACCACCTGTTTCACTCTTCCTGCTTAGAATTGCTTTGGCTATTCTGGGTCCAGATGAATTTCATGGTTGCTTTTTCTATTTCTATGAGGAATGCCATTGAGATTTTGATTGGAATTGCATTGAGCCTGTATCTCTTATGGCGTGCTGGCAATTGAATTCAAAGCTTCACACATTTTAGGCAAGTGCTCTGTCACTAAGCCACACCCCAGCCCTGTTTTATATTTTATCTAGATAAAAAATAATAATATTGTAATAAATCTTTTTTCTTTCTTTGTGATACTGGAAGTTGAACCCATGGGCACTCTACCACTGAGCTACATCCCCAGCCCTTTTTGATATAGGGTTTCACTAAGTCACCCAGGTTGACCTGGAACTTGTGATCTTGGACACAATACCTTTATTTATTTTTATGTGGTGCTGAGGCTCAAACCCAGTGCCTCACATATGCTAGGCAAGTGCTCTGCCACTGAGCCACAACCCCAGCACAGCTGTGATAAATCTTGATGTCTAGTGGAATAAATCCTGTGGGAAAACAATTTTACTTCCACATTCCACATTCAGATAATTTGATAAGCATATGCATTGAAGAGAAGAGCCAGGGTATTTTTCCTTCTATAGGCCATCCTAGGTCTCACTCCCAAAGCCTATCATGGAACTCCCTTGGGTAAGGTAAATGCTCCACATCCTGCAGGCACTGGTGCTTACAGAGGCGGATGCAGTCTGACAAAACTGTATGCTGAAAGGTTGTTCATGCTATTGTATGTAAAATTATAGCTTAAAAAGTCCTTCAGTGTGCACCTCCAACCCAACAAATCACCATCTCCCCAACCAGATGGGGCCCACCTCACAGCATCCAACACTTTGTAGTTTGGGGGAAAATGAGTGAAAAGAGATCAAGATTTGAAGGAGGAGGTTAGTCTGAGAGGCATTCTGGTTCATTTTGTTCCTTGTCAGGGAGGAGTGACAGCTCTACCTATTCCAGCCAGTAATACACACTCCTCCTGCCTGTGCCCACCCGCCTTTTTTTTTTTTTTTTTGGTACAGGGGATTGAATTTTGGGGGGGCTTAACCACTGAGCCACATCCCCAGCCCTTCTTATCTTTTTTGAGACAGTCTAAGTTGCTTAGTGCCTCACTAAGTTGCTGAGGCAGGTTTTGAATTTGCAATCCTCCGACTTTGGCTTCCAGGGTCACTGGGAATACAGGGTGTGTCCCCACTACCACACTATCTGGAGAGAGTGGCTCCACTTGCACCCACCTGTGGTTTCACCCACAGTACATTCGCCCTCAGTTAGCAATTTGTGAATGGGTGCGCAATTGCTGAAGTCAAATGTTCTTTTTAAAGCTCACTTTGAGGACTGCGGACATAGCTTCATGGTAGAGCACTTGGCTACCTCTTGTGAGGCCTTGGGAAGAGAGGTGAGATTCTCAGTGGAATGTCTCTTTCACTTTCAGGAAACAAATGTGACTTGTGGGAAAAGCGGCACGTCCTGTTCGAGGACGCCTGCACACTGGCTGAGAAGTATGGCCTCCTGGCAGTTTTGGAAACATCCGCCAAGGAGTCCAAGAACATAGATGAAGTCTTCGTGCTGATGGCCAAGGAGCTGATTGCCCGAAACAGCCTGCACCTGTATGGGGAGGGCGGCCTGCACAGTCTGCTCACAGACTCCAGTCCAGTTCTTATAGCCCAGGGTCCGAGTGAGAAGAGCCACTGCACCTGCTGAATACGTGGGTGAGGCCAATTTGGAAAGCAGAGGCAGTCAGATACCCAGTGTCCCCTGTGTAGCACTGCAGGACAAATGCAGCCTTGCCACTGACCCCTGATCCCTCCAGCCTGAAGGAACAGCACTTCTGCCTTGACTCACACCACAGACTCCAAGGGAACACCATCATCTTTCTTAACTCCTAGTAAAATTTGAACTTATACAGGGGAAGGTCAAGGTTTGCATTTCCCTTCTTTTCTGCCCCACCCCCATCCCACCAGGTCAACTGCTTTCCCCTGGATTTCACTTCTCAACTTGAAGAAGATAGTGAAGGAAAAACAGGAGAGGATGTTTGGAACATTCTACAGCTCGGGCAGGGAAATGGGAGAAAGCCTGCCATGAAAAAACCAAAATGCTGTTGTCATGTTTCCCCCAACATTCACCCCTCAGTCTGCACTGGGGAGCAAGTCCTGTTACCTAAATACAAGCAACAGTGTCTTGCAGAACTGCCAGGAACCACCCACCTGAGGGAGATGGAGTCCCACTTGGTCTGGGTTGGGCTGATGGGGCACCTTTGCGACCATAAGGATATGAGGGATGCCTAGAATTTCTAAAACATCTACTGGATCAGAAATCAATTCTGGGGCTGGGCTGTGGCTCAGTGGCAGAGCGCTTGCCCTAGCATGTGTGAGGCACTAGGTTAGATTCTCAGCACCGCAAATCAATAAAGAAAATAAAGATTCATTGACAACTAAAAATATATATATTTAAAAAAAAATTCTGAATTGAAATTAAATTGGCTTATAGAGGATTATAAAACTAGTGTTGTATCACTTCTTCTCTAAGATGTGGTCCAAGAGCAGCTGGATCCTTGGAGCTGGTGGGGGAATAGATCCTTGCTCTCAGAACTAAACACATAAGGTTGGCCAGGCAGGATCCAGGCAGCAGGGGATTCCAGAGCAGGCAGTAGGCCAGGGCCCCTCAACCTCAAGTGTCTGATACCCCAGTGAGCAATGGCTATTCATCTGGCAGAGGCACCTGTCTCTGCTGATGACTGCAGCTGTCAGTTGCAGAGTCGCCTGTGAGGGTCAGAAATGATGAGAAGGCACCAGAAAGGAACACACTCTTGGTTTTGACTCAGTGCTACAGAGAAGATGTACCCAACTGCAGGATGCTGCACTTAACCTGGGACGTCCCCATATCCTTTCTCCCAGAAGTCGCTGGCCATCCCTTCCTTTCCCTGCTCTGCTCTGAGTATCTCAGCTCCGTGTTTAAAAGGCTAAACCTTTTGGTACAGATGGTGGTGGAGAAGCATGCACCCCCAAATACTACCCAGCTCACTCTCAGCCCAGAAGTCAGTCTTTAAGACCACCTTTCTTCCTCCCACCAGCCCACTGCAGCCCCCGAGGTGTCCTCTAGCTCCCTTAGACATTTCCTGGTCCCTAGGAGTTCAATCTTAAATTCTGACCTTCAGGATTCACCAACATACTAAATCCCCCAAGATGAAGGGCAGTGCCTTCCCCCTGCTCTGCCTTCCAAAACACCAAGCACTTTTCCTTTTAACTTTGCAAGACACAAAGTTTCTAAAAGGTACCTTAAGTACCTTTTAGAAACTTTGTGTCTTGCAAGTCTTCACTCCTCCCGTTGAGCACCTCCATTCCTAGTTCAGCCAACCTGTTCAGTATGTGTCCCAAAATGAATGACTTGTCAAAGGTGCCTCTGGTTGCCAGCTGCTGTGGAACACAGCTGGGACCCCAGTCTCTATAGGAGCTTTCCTCCTTTCCTCCATAGGCCAGTGACAGCCTGAGGTCCCAGCCCTCTGAGGCATTTGCAGATTTGCATAATCACACAAACAAACCCAGAGATAAACCCCTGAATTGTGCAGGTGTACACAGCAGCTAGGGAGACTGAGACAGGAGTTCAAAGCCAGCCTCAGCAAAAGCAAGCTGTTAAGCAACTCAGTGAGGCTGGGGACCTGGCTCAGTGGACAAGTGCCCCTGAATTGGGCCTTCAGCCAGTACTTTCAGCTCTTTGGAAGTTAAGAACATCAGGGGGAAAGGGCAATCTTCTAGGAACCCCTGAAGCCCCGCTCTAGGACAGCTGTCCTTCCAGCCTGGGACATCCTGGGAGACATATATCCACAGGCCTTCACATCCGGTCTTGGGTGATGGGAGGGCTCCACACCTCACTTAAGCACCTGAGCAGTTATGCTAAATCCCACAGAAGTTCTGGCACAAGTTCTGGACCTCATTTTTTTGGCTGTTGACTGACCTTTGTTTTATTTATTTCTATGAGTTGCCAAGAATCAAACCCAGTGCCTCACACATGCAAGGCAAGCGCTCTACCACTGAGCCACGACCCCAGCCCCCACATGACCTCATTTTTGCTGGAGTTGCAGCCCCTCCCATCAGCACCTTTCTCATTCCCTCCTCCACCTTTGTTCACAAAGGGGAAGCTTTGAGAACGCCTGCCAAACTCCCAGTTTCCAGAGAAAAGTAAGAATTTATATTAGAGGTCTGTGAGTTACCCCCCATCCACTGCCAAATTCTTCCTACCCAGTTAAAAGACTGTCTTCCTCAGTCAGTGGCTAACAGGGGCCTCCTGTGCTCAGGTGCATACATTGGTGTGCACATGCCCTGCCCCACCCCTGTGTTCAGTCTAGAAGCTCACACAGGTCTTGGCAGCTCTGTTCCACCCTTCAGGACTGACCCAGCCTGGTAAATGGTCAATAGTGATTATGCTGAGCAGGTGACCCCAGCCCTGGGCTTGAGCCACAGCTGTCCTTGTCCGTGATCCTCTTTGGATTCCATTTGCTGTGGATTCCATGTGGTTGCTTCACTGTTTTTTGTTTTGTTTTTGAATTTTGCAGTGCTGGGGATTGAGCACATGCATGCTAAGCATGTGCTCTGCCACTAAACTGCACTCTAGACCATGAACTCTCAAACTCTCATCAGGCACAAAAAAGGGGATGGCTGTGAAAATCTTTTGGAAGTATAAAGCAAGACAAAGTCAATGTGAAATCATCTTCACCATTGCCCATCAGACATCAGAGAAGGGGGCCAGAGCTGAACCCTGGTCCCTAGACATACTTGATATTTTAGGTTACACCACCCAGAGGAAAAGGGGTACATTTCCCCCCATGTTCTACTAGTCCCTTGAGAATAAAACCCTTTTCTTTTCCATACCTTGGCACAAATATAACACAAAGGAATTCTTGAAAAACTCATGTTACCTGAAAATGCAAAAAAAACCAAAAACAAAACAAAACTTGTTTAACTTCTGTTAGAGACAGTATTTTCCCATGGAAGAAACCCTGCCTATGCCCAGCCTTAAGAAGGCCCTGGTTGGTGCCACCCCTCAAACTGCCAATGAAAGAATCATGGCGGGAAATATCAAGTTCTGAGGGTTCTCGGAAGGTTCATGAGATCCTGCCATTTGCAACAGCATGGATGGACCTGGTAGAGTTTACACTAAAAGAAATAAGCAAGGCACAGGAAGACAAATACAACACAAACTCATTTATATGTGTAAATGTGAGCCCTTAGCAACTTAGCCAGACCTTCTGGAAAAAAAATTTAAAAAGAGCTATGTCGGGCTGGGGATGTGGCTCAAGCGGTAGCGCGCTTGCCTGGCATGCGTGCGGCCTGGGTTCGATCCTCAGCACCACATGCAAACAAAGATGTTGTGTCCGCCGAAAACTAAAAAATAAATATTGAAAATTCTCTCTCTCTTTAAAAAAAAGAATAAATAAAATAAAAAGGGCTATGAATATAGCACAGAAAAGCACCTCTGGGTTCAGTACCAAAAGTAATAATGCAGTAAAGGGTACAAAGTTTCAGTTAGACAGGAGGAATCAAATCTAGTTTTTTGGATTTGGGGAAGGGGAGGAGTTTTATCACTTAACTGTATACCCAGCTGCCCACGCACCCTTTTAACTTTTTAGACACAGTCTAAATTGCTTAGGGCCTCAAGTTGCTGAGTCTGGCCTGGAACTTGCAATCTTCCTGACTCAGCTTACTGAGTCACTGGGATTACAGGGATGCGCCACTGTGCCCAGCAAGAATCAAGTTTTTGCACAGCAGGGTGACTACAGTTAATAACTGTACTCAAATAGCCAAGGATAAATCTCAAATGCCTCACCCCAAAAACAATAGAGTAATAGAGTAATTAGTTATGTGCCCAGCACTGTAGCATACTAATTCAATAAATCTTTTTCTAAATTTATTTATTTATTTACTTACTTACTTGCTTGCTTATTTTGGTGCTAGGGATCAAACCCAGGACGTTATGCATGAGAGACAAGCACTCAACCAACTGATCTACATCCCCAACCCCTCAATGAATCCTTTTAACTAGTTTTTGAAGGTACTATTTTTTACATAAGAATATAAATTGGGCTGGGGGTGTAACTCAGTGGTAGAAAACTTGCCTAGCAGGCATGAGGCCTATCCCCAGCACTGCCCAGCCCCCTGCAAATGTGACTGTATTTTTAAGAATAGTTTCCATTCCATTTTTCTTTTCTTTTTGTGCCGCTGGGAATGAAACCAAAGGCCTCACTCATACTAAGCATACACTCTACACCTGAGCTGCACCCTCCAGGCCATTTTTAATTTTTGATACAGGATCCCTTAGTTGCAGGGGCTGGCCTTGAACTTGTGATCCTCCTGCTTCAGCCTTCCAGGTTGCTTGGGATTACAGGTGTGTATCCACCACATCTGGCTTTAATTCATTAAAAAAAAAAAAAAAAAAAAAAAACCTTCACATGGGTTGCAGTAGCAGAGCCCTTGCTGCCTAGCATGCTCAAAGCCCCGAGGTTGATCCTTAGTCCTGAAAAAAAAAAGAAAAAAGAAAAAAAGAAACTCACAAAATAATTATGAAAATTATGAGCTGGGTGCAGGGGTGCACGCCTGTAATCCCAGTAGCTCAGGAGGCTGAGGCGGGAGGATCATGAGTTCAAAGCCAGCCTCAGCAATGGCAAGGCCCTAAGCAACTCAGTGAGATCCGTGTCTCTAAATAAAAATTCAAAATAGGGTTGGGGATGTGGCTCAGTGGCCAAGTGCTCCCGAGTTCAATCCCTGGTACAAAACAAAAACCAATCATGTGGTGACTTGTAAGTGACTTACTTAGGAAATGAAGCAGGATCCACTACAAGCACAGGGTACCAGGAAAGCCACAGAGCCTTTTGCTGACCAAGGCAGCCTAGAGTCAGTCAGTCCTGCAGATTCTAC